TCTTCTTTATCCCTCATTCACAAACTCAGCAGCAAGCTTTCAAATATAGAGTTGCCAGTTTCTCTACATTTATCACTGCAAAAGCAGCAGTGAATCCTTCCACTGCTGGGATGCCAGCTTCTCCGCCCTTCTTGCCCTCATATCCTAAGCAGCAGATGTTGCTTTTGGCACCAAAATGCCAGTTTCTCTATTTACATTCCTCATTTGCAAATGCAGAAAAGCTCTTTGCACCGAGATGCATTCCTCTCTCCAGGATGCCACTTTCTCCGTTTCATTCAGTCTTCCAGAAGGTGTAGCAGCAAACCGTTCTGGCACCAAGAAGCCAGTTTCTCTGCCATCTTTCTTGCCTTTGCAAACCACCGGCAAACCTTTGTGGCACTGGGATGCCAGGTTCTGTCCTCTATCGCTCCTTTTCAGACATCCAAACTGCGCCGTGTGCATAATTCTTCACGGCGTCCCTTCACTTCTCATGTGCTTTCACTAGCATCATCTAGCATCCACCCTCAACACAATCATTCGAGACCACTCTCTAAGCCTCTCTCTAAGACTCACTGTTCCAACTACATCTAAACAGCTTATCATCTCCAATGAAGTTCAGTGGACTCGCCATAATTATAGAAGACAACTCCAATCAGTCTTTCAATTCAACAACCCTTCCCAATCTGCTGTCACTTCTGTTAATTTCAGAAATAAGCACAGTAGCAATGTCCATCCAACTCTTTTCATGGTTGTTGTAGTCGTAATAATTTTGTTAAGGCCACACTGAAAAGCCTCGGATACGGAAGCGTAGAGCTGCCACCCAGGCAAAAGAAAAATAGAGCTATATCAAGTTATAATGTGAAAAGTATATTATTATAGTATACTATTGTTCTAACAAAAGTATATTGTTTTAACAATATACTTTTGTTAGAACAATATACTATCATGTAGGTACAATATACCTTTCACATTTGAACTATATAATATCATGTTATTACAATATACGTAATTCTCACGTTCATACAATATAAATACTATATTGTACAAACGAATAATTGAGATTAGAGGCTATGTCTGTAAAGGTTCTCAGTCATCCAGGTCATCGTAGTCAAAGGAGCTTGCAAAGAAAAGCGTCTGGAGTGAGAGAAGCCATCTATGTCCACTGTGAGCGACCATCT